GATACCGAAATAAGTATATGGCATATTTGTTACGGCAGTACGTTACACGATTACCAAACATCGAAAAAGATGTGGACATATATTGCTTTTGCGCTATAACCCAGCCAAGATGGAGATGGAGAAAGGAGGAACACTGAACGAAAGGGCTTTATGTATTCCGTACGTGGTCTTGAGTGAAGGATCCCGCACATTAATGCTTGCATCAGCGGAAAAGAAGAAATGGTTTTCAAGAGCAGGGATCTCGTATGCCGGCAACTGAATTTGCGTCATTGTTCGTTCAGCTTGTGCGTCCGGAAAAGTGTTCTAGGCTGTCCGACTGCGTGGTGATCCGTCGGCTAGCAGAAGATCACTTTGGTTAGACAGCTTTTGTTGCTGTAGCGTCTGAAGTTGGTCTTCTTTTTGCTGTTTACGAATTCTCAGATCATCTTTTTTCCCATTTCGTTAAAGTGGTTACCAAACCAACAGTCTAGAATTCTTTTGACAGCTGAACTGATGACGTCTTCGAGAGATACTCCAGAAACCGCACACAAAACAAAAAGAAATCACAGATATGAAGTTGATCTGGTGTCTGTTGTGGATACAGATCTGCTGTTCCAGAGCTAATCACGCTACTTAAGTGTACAAAAATGTTTGCGTGTGTAGAACTATTCACCATACCGGAACGGCATAGCTTTCAAATAACTTGTGTTTTCATGTAAGATTTGAGGTTTTCACAGCGGTGAGTATGAAGATTTCTGTCTTCTGGGTTGTTGCGCTGTGTAGTCTGGTCGATGTCAACCAACGTTTCAGAGGTCATACTGCCTCCGTCATCAGGGCGATGAGTATGAAGATTTCTGTCTTCTGGGTTGTTGCGCTGTGTAGTCTGGTCGATGTCAACCAACGTTTCAGAGGTCATACTGCCTCCGTCATCAGGGCGATGAGTATGAAGATTTCTGTCTTCTGGGTTGTTGCGCTGTGTAGTCTGGTCGATGTCAACCAACGTTTCAGAGGTCATACTGCCTCCGTCATCAGGGCGATGAGTATGAAGATTTCTGTCTTCTGGGTTGTTGCGCTGTGTAGTCTGGTCGATGTCAACCAACGTTTCAGAGGTCATACTGCCTCCGTCATCAGGGCGATGAGTATGAAGATTTCTGTCTTCTGGGTTGTTGCGATGATGACGGAGGCATTATGACCTCTGAAACGTTGGTTGACATCGACCAGACTACACAGCGCAACAACGCAGAAGACAGAAATCTTGTGTTTTCATGTTTTGTACTTATTTCTTGTATATGGGCCAGCGTTATTTTGATCCGGACAGTCATCAGATTCGGCTGTGACTGTACTAAATAGTCAGTATCACACACGTTAATAAAAACAGCGTTCTTTCCCGAGGCATATCGATCGACTTATTGCCAGAAAACTGTCTCTCCAAGCACTGGAGTCTCGAAAATAGTCTTAATAGTATGACCAACAAGTATTCTTTTCAAAGAAATGTTCTCGTATCTTTCAAGAACCATATTCACTCCAATTCCACCAGGTTCGCCTTCATTCTAAAGCCATTACAATTTAAGACGTTTTGATCGCCTGTCGACGTCTCCCGGATCCGATGGCCGATTCCGACTTCAGTTTGTGAACCGTAGAAGGAGCTGGAATTTGTGTGGCATTTTTGCTTCTCACAAAGGCCTGCTCATGCTCACCATTAATCTTTATCATTCTTCACGCCCTTGCGACTGAAAAAGTAAGTCTCAGCTCGAGTGTGTCTAAGTCAAAATGTGTAGTCTTCCCTCTTTCCGATCAAAACGTGACGCGACAGAGTAAGCGCGTACTTTTTCCCTTCCTTTCTTTCTGTCTTTTGTTCTCTCTTTATCGCCTTTTGTTTGGAAAGAAAGGAATGAAGAGTGAAAAATTATCCTTTCTTTTCTATGCAATTTCGTGTTTTATGCAAACAAGGCTTTCTGGAAAGCAATTCCTTCGAATTCTAACCAGAATCATAATCATACAGAGACGCCTGTCTTCTGAGATGTTCTGTCTTTTGGTTACAAAGTTAGAAGGGGAACATGCCCGCTGATCTCACCGTCTTTTTTCCCCCTTGTAAATGAGGGGAGTTGAGAAACGAAGTGAAACAATACCAGAGCAGATAATGTAATGGAGTTGGCGATAAACTCTTTGGAGTTATCGGAAACATCGTTGGGTTTTAATTACTACGTTAATGTAAATGTAGCCGGTGTTATCGTCGCCGTGCCACATTTTGACCCCGTTAATGTGCCAGAATGGTGCCAGGCATTTACCAATAGAGATATCTTTCTGGGTTAAAGATAAAACAGCAGAACGCCTTGAAAACAAATATGCTGTAAGGCTGTGCCGTCCCTCTGACGTATTCGTGCGCTATTTGCACTATTTAGAAAATCAGTCTTTCGGAACTTGCCAGATCTGATCATGGCAGACCCAGTAGATAGAACATGTGCCATCGGTTCAATCGGTTCGTTGCCATATGCAAGGGAAAGGCTCTTATATATTTTATGTTTTATAGTCACGTGGGCTCTACATAAAATGCAGATTTCATTAAGATCTTCAGAGTGTGTTGTGCATTTAACAAAATGTAAAGAAAATCTGTTCATGAACGCATAGTTTTGGATGTGCAGTGAGTTGGCATTAAAGGCTAATGCGGTGTTTAATATCAGAAGGAACGGATTTGGAAGATACTTGAACTTCAATCGATCCCCCACACTTTTCCACTCTTGATTCGTAATAAGCGTTATCGCAAACGCTGATCCTTTCATCGCCAAATCTTTAAATTATTTCAGTGCTAAGATTTCGACGGCAGCAAATTCTATTATTTTGTATTTTCGTAGTAAAAGTAATTCACTTTGCTGGATTTTTCACGTAATCGTTGGTTTCATGTGTTCAGAGGTGGCAAGCCATGCTTTTTCAGTAAACGATACACAAATATGTAATGCAGGTAAGAAGGTTCGGTTTCAAGGCGATGAATGTCTTAACTAAGAAAGAATTTAAATTTGCCCACACATTTTTTTTTGGTGGGGTCATCAAGTAAGTTGCCCTCTATAAGCGGACGTGTATCGAAATAAAACAGCTTGAAGCATTGCAACAGTCGCAATTATGTAGAGTTAAAGTATCAATAATAGACCATGAAGACCTGAGGCGTGTTGGTACTTGAACCTGCATGAGCAGGTGATTATTATAGCCCCTAATGGAAGGCGCTGAACTTTGATAGCAGTGTCCAGTCGTATCTGCGTATTGCTTTCATTGTGTGGGGAGTTTCTTCCTTCATTCTTTTGGCGGAAGGGAGAGCCGAGCGAGTGGAGTTATTGGGGCCGACAGGACGTGGTGAAGAGGCTGGGCTGACCTTTCAACTCCAAA